GTGTGTGCCAGGCACTAGCAAACTTTTTGCCAGGGTAGGTTGGCCCTCCGACATCCTCACAGATGCAGGAACTAATTTCCTGGCAGGAACTATGGAAAACCTTTGGGAAGCTCATGGGGTGAATCACTTGGTTGCCACCCCTTACCATCATCAAACAAATGGCCTGGTGGAGAAATTTAATGGGACTTTGGGGGCCATGATACGTAAATTCGTAAATGAGCACTCCAATGATTGGGACCTAGTGTTGCAGCAGTTGCTCTTTGCCTACAGAGCTGTACCACATCCCAGTTTAGGGTTTTCACCATTTTGAACTTGTATGTGGTCACGAGGTTAAGGGGCCATTACAGTTGGTGAAGCAGCAACGGGAGGGGTTTACACCTTTTCCAGGAACTAACATTCTGGACTTTGTAACCAACCTACAAAACACCCTCCAAACCTCTTTAGCCCTTGCTAAAGAAAACCTAAAGGATGCTCAAAAAGAGCAAAAAGCCTGGTATGATAAACATGCCAGAGAGTGTTCCTTCAAAGTAGGGAACCAGGTCATGGTCTTAAAGACACTCCTCCAGGCCCATAAAATGGAAGTTTCATGGGAAGGGCCATTCACGGTCCAGGAGCTCCTAGGAGCTGTTAATTATCTCCTAGCATTCCCCACCTCCAACCAAAAGCCTAAGGTGTACCATATTAATTCTCTAAAGCCCTTTTATTCCAGAGAATTAAAGGTTGTCAGTTTACAGCCCAGGGAGGAGATGATGCTGAGTGGCATGAAGGTGTCTACTACGAAGGGAAAAGTGCTGGTGACATTGAAGAGGTGAACCTCTCCATGACCCTTGGGCATGTGCAGCAACAACAGATCAATGAACTGTGCGCTAGCTACGCGTCGATGTTCTCAGCCACCCCAGGACTGACTGAACGGGCATACCACTCCATTAACACCAGTAATGCTCACCCGATTAAAGTCCAACCTTACCGGCAGTCTCCTCAAGCTAAAACTGCTATAGAACAGGAGATCCAGGATATGCTACAGATGCGGGTAATCCTCCCCCTGGCAGTGCATGGGCATCTCCAGTGGTTCTAGTTCCCAAACCAGATAGGGAGATACGATTTTGCATGGACTACCGTAAGCTAAATGCTGTAACTCGCCCAGACAACTATCCAATGCCACACAGATGAACTATTAGAGAAACTGGGACGGGCCCAGTTCATCTCTACCTTGGACTTAACCAAGGGGCACTGGCAGGTACCGCTAGATGAATCTGCCAAGGAAAGGTCAGCCTTCACCACACATGTTGGGCTGTATGTATTTAATGTACTCCCTTTCGGGCTGCAGAATGCACCCGCCACCTTCCAAAGACTTGTAGATGGTCTCCTAGCGGGATTAGGAGAATATGCAGTCGCCTACCTTGACGATGTGGCCATATTTTTGGATTCCTGGGCAGAACACCTGGAACATCTACAAAAAGTCTTTGAGTGCATAAGGGAAGCAGGACTAACTGTTAAGGCTAAGAAGTGTCAAATAGGCCTAAACAGATTGACTTACCTTGGACACCAGGTGGGTCAAGGAACTATCAGCCCCCTACAGGCCAAAGTGGATGCTATCCAAAAGTGGCCTGTCCCAAAGTCAAACAAACAGGTCCAATCCTTCTTAGGCTTGGCTGGATATTACAGGCAATTTGTACCACAATACAGCCAAATCACCGCCCCACTGACAGACCTAACCAAAAAGAAACCGCCAAATGCCGTTCAGTGGACCGAAGAGTGTCCAAAGGCCTTTAACCAGCTTAAAGCGACACTCATGTCTGACCCTGTACTAAGGCCCCAGACTTTGACAAACTGTTCCTAGTAACCACAGATGCGTCTGAGTGTGGTGTGGGAGCAGTTTTAATGCAGGAAGGACCAGATCAAGAATTCCACCCTGTAGTGTTTCTCAGACAGCTTCTTGCTGAGAGGGAAAGCAACTGGTCAGTAAGTGAAAAAGCATGTTACGCTATTGTCTAAGCTCTGGAAAAGCTACGCCCATACGTTTGTGGGCGGCGTTTCCACCTGCAAACCGACCATGCTGCGCTACAGTGGCTTCATGCCGCCCTGGGAAATAACAAACTTTGTTCGGTGGAGTTTAGCTCTCCAAGATTTTGATTTCGACATCCAACACATCTGAGGAGCTTCTAACAAAGTGGCTGATGCACTCTCCCATGAAAGTTTCCCAGAATCAACTGGTTAAAATCGTCCTTGAGCTGTGGAAAATATTGTTAGTCTTTATATACTTGGTAGTATATTTAGAGGTACATGTGTCTTATTAACTCTGTTTTCTCCTAGAGCTCCAGGAAGAAATGACAGCCAGTGTTCCCCCCCATCTGTGTGATTTGGGGGGCATGTCATAAATATAAAGGGAAGGCTAACCACCTTTAAATCCCTCCTGGCCAGAGGAAAAAACCCTTTCACCTGTAAAGGGTTAAGAAGCTAGGATAACCTCGCTGGCACCTGACCAAAATGACCAATGAGGAGACAAGATACTTTCAAAGCTGGAGGGGGGGAGAAACAAAGGCTCTCGCTGTCTGTCTGTCTGTCTGTCTTTGCCAGGACCAGAGCAGGAATGCAGGTCAGAACTCCTGTAAAGGATTAATAAGCAATCTAGTTAGATATGCGTTAGTCTGTTTTGTTTAAATGGCTGACCAAATAAGTTATGCTGAATGGAATGTATATGCCTGATTTTGTCTTTTTGTAACTTAAGGTTTTGCCTAGAGGGATTCTCTGTGTTTTGAATCTGATTACCCTGTAAGGTATTTACCATCCTGATTTTACAGAGGTGATTCTTTTACTTTTTCTTCAATTAAAATTCTTCTTTTAAGAACCTGATTGCTTTTTCATTGTTCTTAAGATCCAAAGGTTTGGGTCTGTGTTCACCTATGCAAATTGGTGAGGATTTTTATCAAGCCTTCCCCAGGAAAGGGGGTGTAGGGTTTGGGAGGATTTGGGGTGGAGGGGGAAAAAAAGACTTTTCCAAGCGGGCTCTTTCCCTGTTATATATTTGTTAGACGCTTGGTGGTGGCAGCAATAAAGTCCAAGGGCAAAAGGTAAAATAGTTTGTACCTTGGGGAAGTTTTAACCTAAGCTGGTAAAAATAAGCTTAGGGGGTTTTTCATGCAGGTCCCCACATCTGTACCCTAGATTTCAGAGTGGGGAAGGAACCATGACAGTACATATATATAAACTGGTTAATTTGAGATATTTAGCAGACATCAGAATTACTACATTTCATAGCTGCTATTGGCCTCTTCAAGGAGAGATTGTGTGGGGGTGTGTGTTTTTGTTTTTTTAATTGAAGCAGGCCAAGTGGGGCATAGACTTACGTTGTATGCAACTGTATAACAGTTTCCATAATTGCAATAATATTTGTCTTATGAGAACAAAGCACTTGGAGATGTTGAGCTGGTTAGGTTACTAAAAAGCTTATCAGTCATAAATTAAATAGAAGGGGTGCCTTAAACACTGCAGTACTCTAGAATACATTCCATTGCAGCTGCATCAGGCAAAACGAGTTAACCAGCTGCAGGGAAGAGTGAACATTTTCCCTTAAATATAAATTTTAAAATCCTAGTTTTGTAATACTTATATGGAGGGCACAGGAGATTTTTGTATTTGAGTTTCTTCTCATTTGTGTATGGGTTTTTGTTTCAAGGCATCTGGAGTAATTGACTCTGTTTTCATGTCCTCTTAGCCAAATGCATGAGCTGTTTATCAGATTTCCTTTAAGACTACTGTTGTCACTGTACTAGGATATTTTTGCTTCAAGTGCCACTTGTTGCTACCACCAATTAGCGCCACCAATGGTAACAATGTTAGGAGCATGAGTGAAAGAAGGGAGCAGCTGATACTGTAAACACAGGATCATCTAATCCTGCTCAGAGAAGGTCTATACAAAACTGCATACAAAGGCTGATGGCCAGTGGTATCTTTTCTAAACTAACACTCCCATTGTTCGTTACCACCAGGTGACCTGAACTTGTGATGGCAACAGGTGGGAAAATTTCAACCAACACTTGTAGATGAAACCAAAGGAGGGCATTTCAGATATTGTCTATAATAAGTCTTGATAATGTCACTTCCATATTGAAGGCCTTATATACACAAGTACAGTTTCCCTAGACTTTCCCATGCTTACTGCTGTCAGTGCAGTCCCAGTGGAGCCCAGTGTCCTGGTAGCTGCTGACGTTTTGTGTAAACTTGCTGTAAGCAGGGTTAAATGACATGTTACTGGAAAGCCTGTCATTCTTCCTTGAGACTTGTGTATACTAGCACTTCTGCTATCACTAGGCCCTTTCGAGCTGCAACAGTGGGACATCTGAGAGAGAAATAGTCTCATGCGGACACTGTGTATACCGGGGGTCGGCAGCCTTTCAGAAGTAGTGTGCTGAATCTTCATTTATTCACTCTAATTTAAGGTTTCACGTGCCAGTCATACATTTTAACGTTTTTAGACGGTCTGTTTCTGTAAGTCTATAATATACAACTGAACTATTGTTGTACATAAAGTAAAGAAGGTTTTTAAAATGTTTAAGAAGCTTCATTTAAAATTTAAATTTAAAATACAGAGCCTCCGCCCCCCCCCCCACCCTCCCCGGACTCGTGGCCAGGACCTAGGCAGTGTGAGTGCCACTGAAAATCAGCTTGCCTGCTGCCTTTGGCACGCGTGCCATAGGTTGCCTACCCCTGGTGTATACATTATTTTGTCAATAATGGAAGATATTTTTAGGAACTTGATTAGGTAAGAATTTCTAGTAGGTAAGACATAAAGTTGGAGATAACTTTCAGTACTTAGCTTGTATGGGGTGCTACCCAAAAAGGGAATCCCTGCCTTGAAGTCACTGTCCCTCTGAAGGTACAACTGGTACTACACAGGACAGTGCAGTACGTACCGTTTGAATTTTAAAAATGTGCAAATTAACTACCTTCCTGGTTAATGTTAAATTCCTTTGAATCCTTATGAATCTTTCTTTCTATAGGAATTTGTTTACTAGAAACACAAGACTGGACAAACAAAATGATTTGGGCTGGAAGTTATTTGGAAAAGTACCTCTGAGAGAGAATTCACAGAAAGATCCAAAGAGAATACAGAAGGTATTTGCTTATCCTTTATTTTTGCGGTTTTCTTTGATTTAGGATTACTGTTGCACATTTAGTCTGGTTAAGTTGTATGATTTATGTCCATGTCTCTGAAGCATATTTAGCCCTTCAAACAAACAAAATTGCAAATGAAATTTTGGGTGGTGGGGTGGGACAAACAACCTCTCACCCCCAGAATGTCCTTACTTTTAATTATATTTTTTTAAAAATCCAGGTAGCTAGTCTGAATGCCATTTTTAAAAATAGTAATAAATTTAGCACTTTGTCTCAATACAGTTTAACATCTTTATTATCCTGCTGGAAGGGTTGGACACTTGCCTAAACTAGGACCTGGTCTACCCTAGGAAATTCAATTGGTATAACTGTCACTCAAGGCGTGAAAAATCCACGCCCACAAGTGACGCAGTTAAACCAATCTCACCCCCAGTGTAGATAATGCTAGGTTGAAGGGAGAGTTCTCCCATTGTCCTAGCTACCGCCTCTTGGGGAGGTGGATTACCAATGCTAGTGTTTTAAAGTGTGCATTTGATTTAAAGGTGTCATAGATGAAATTAGCTAACTCAATATAATTAACTTCAAAGGGTTTGTCTGTGCTAGACTTTTTAATCTCAAATGTAGATGTGTTCATCCTGCAAGATTATGACAAGAATTTAACAGCCAAACCTGAAAAGGGCTGCCTGAAAGGTTCTGGATAGATTAAACTGTAGTTACAACATGAAGGAGCTGGGGGATGGGAAAGAGTATCACTGAGTGGTACTTATTTGGTACACAGTTTTTTGTACTGATAACAGTCAGGCGTATGACACCTTTTTTAACTGATATATCAGTATAACCCCTAGTGTGGATGCAGTTATAGCAATATAAAGATGCCTTATGCTGGGATATTTTATTGGTCTCTTTGTATGGGAATAAGATATATTGGTGTAAGTGCACTTACATTAGTGTAAATGCGCCCGTGCTAACGGGGCTTTCACTATGCTGGTATAATTAGAGATTAACAACTTTTTTGTGTATACAAGCCCTTGGTTGTCATGTGAAACAACATCTTTGCAACTAGAATAGCTAGAAATTTGACTCTTAATGTAGTGTTAAATTATTCAGAAATTTGCTTAAATTCTTCCACCCCACTTACTGGAAAGAGCTTGACACTTTTATATTTGGTAAGAGGATTTTCAAGTTCTGCCCTGAAGTATTCCTTCTAAAATTACTGAAGTGATGCTTTTCAAATGGCCATCTGTGCGTCTAACTCTTGATGCAAACACTTACTTACCACCATTGACTTCTGGAGTTTTATTAGGCCCTATGGCAGAATGTGACTGTTCCCTGTGATGTCAGTTGTTTGCTGTTCTGTACTTTGTCTCTTCAATAAGAACTGAACTTACCGGTACCCTTAGCTATTCAGTATTCCTAGAATACTACAGTTGTTAAATCTTATAGTGGGATTCCTTAGAAAAGGGTAGACGGTCATTTAGGAAGATATGCAGTATCTTTCTCAAAAGGCTTTAATCACACTCGCCCACACTATCCAGTTGAGTTTCTGGCTGAACCATAAGTGTTTAAACAGTCTTCCCTAATTGCTCTCAAGTACAAATAGAAATGTTTTCAGAAAGTTATCTGTTAATAAGTTTCATTTGCTTCTTTCCTGAAACTAATTTTCAAAATGTGGAAATTCTGAAACTTTAGATACCATAGTTCATACTTGAAAGAGCAGAAGAGTAGCTGACTCTGTTCAAACTGTGGAAAGGCTGTGTCAAAGTTCCCCTGAGTCAATGGCTCATCGGGCTGAGGTGGCTAAGGCACATCCATTTCATAGCCAAATGGTACAGAAGGGAGTAAAGTGGAGAGCATCAGGTCTGACCTAAGGCAGCCTTTGACTGCCCTAATCCAATGAATCAGGTACCCCTTTTACAGCTGGGTGAACAAGAAGTAACCTTTCAGTATGAGATTGAGCAAGTCTCGATCTTCAGGATTGTAGTCAAGCTCCTTAGCCACTCAGCCACCGCACTTCCTAGAGAGAGAGAAGTTGGGACCATGAGAAATAACATAGCTGCTCTGCTGGTAGAGAGGAATGAATGATTTTAATTTCAGTCATTTGTATGTTGTGATGTAAGGCTATGTTTACACTTGTCATTTAAAGCGCAAAATGTCCCTTTTTTGCGCTAAAATCATGGGAGCGTCTACACTGGTTAATGACTTTTCGCGGTGAAACTCAGACGTTTCACTGCAAAAAGAAAACCATCTTCACGAGAGGCATACAGTTCTTTCCCCTGTTCTATTTGCATTGTTGTAAAAGCGAAGACCCATTCTACCTATGCAAACAACTTTTGGCCTCCGGAGGATATCCCACAGTTCCAAAAGTGACCACTCTGGCCAGCATCTCCACTGCTCTGATGCCAGGTAAACAGACATCCGCCCGCCCCTCGCCCTATAAGCGCTGGGAAGTTGGAAACTCCCTTTCCCTTTGCTTGGAGATGTGGCAGGGAAAGCAGCCAGACAGCAGGGTTTGTTTTGTTTTTGTTTTTGTTTTGTTTAAATGCCACAAAAGAAACAAGTAATGGGGCTTCTGGGATATGAAGCAGTGCATCACAAGGCACTGAGCAGGGACCCAGAATGCCTTCTGCTCAACCCCCCCCTTCCCACAAGACCTATTGAGAGAGCTGCACTGTGGGATAGATGACCTACAGCGCTGCTCTCCTCTGTGATGGAAGTGCTGGTAGTGTAAACACTCTGACGTCTGAGGAATTGAGCACTGGTTTGCATGCTCACTTTTCTTTCACCAGTTCCTTTTCACCTGTGAAACTTATAGCACAAAAACTCTGCAAGTGTAGACATACCCTAAGTCTGTCCTATGAAGACTTAATCTAGAATAATTGTTTACTAGGATAGATGTTTCAGTGAATACAGTAAGAGCTTCGTGAATGCTGCTAATGTAGTGTCTCATTCAGTCTTTAATATATTTTATCAGTTGTAAACTTTTTTATTCTACTCAAAAAAACTACCTTAAAATAACTTTATTAAGGTTGCAAAATCAAGCACTCAAAAGTTACCATTGTTCACTTAATTCACCCATTTTTCTGCATGTATATATTATCATAGTCCTTAATTACATGATTACATACTATTTTTAATCTAGTTTGTGTGCAGCTTTTTAGGTTTTTATAAAAAGAAAACTGAAAAACAGAAATTTGTCATTGACACCTACATCAGCAGGGTGGGATCCCTCCCTCCAGTTCTAATCAGTTTCTCTTTCCCACCCCCTTCTGTCCCAGTCTGGGATAAGAGCTTGGTTAATCTACTCCTTTCGCTTTCCCCCAGTCTGGCTCTTTTTTTCCCCCCTTGTATTGCGACTTCCTCCTTCATGCTGCTTGGGCATCAGCAGTGGGATCAGAGAGTGCGCTGGAGAAACAGGCTCACCAGCAAAAAATATATAATTTGACATTGCAAAACAATGTACTTCTCATTACCTTGCTCTCAGAAACAGCTGAACTATTTTGTCTGAAACTTTCCAAAAATGTTTAGCCTAAGGCAGTACCTGAAATGGAAAATTTCAGCCCAATTGGTTAAAGTTTGGAAGAGTTATAAACAGAAAGCAGGGTATTACAATGGGAAGTGCCAGGCAACTTTATTAATAGTTTGTGCTATTAAACATTCCTAAAATTAGAAATATGCAGTATTGGTGTAGCTCTATTGATCCCAGGGTATTAGAGAGACATGTTGGGTGAGGTAATATCTTTTACTGGACCTGAAGAAGAGCTCTGTGTAAGCTTGAAAGTTTGTGTCTCTCACCAACAGAAGTTGGTCAAATAAAAGAACATTTCTTCACCCACCTTGTGTCTCTCAAATTAGAAGTGATGGTCATGTTTTTTGAATGCTGTCTGTTCATGAAAAATGTCTGTGTTCCATTGTTTCAGAGGAAAGGAAAGTATTAAACTTACCTTTTACTGGTCTTGAATAAAGAAGTTGTTACATAAGGTTCTTTTCCAAGAACGTCTGTGCAAAATCTGGGTGCAGATCAGGCCCAGAAAGAGAGAACTTCAAGTCTAGGCCTGTAACATTAGAGCATAATATGTGGCATGTTTCTACTTGAGGGGTCAAGAGGTATTTACTTAAATTTCTTATTGTGACTATCCGACGAATTGAGACTTGCATCCGACAAAGTGGATATTCACACACGAAAGCTTATGCTCCAAATACGTCTGTTAGTCTATAAGGTGCCACAGGACTCTTTGCCACTGCAAAAATTGTAATTCTGGAATTCCTGTACCTTACTACTAGTAGTATACCAGTAAAAGGTAAGTTCTGAAGTCTGACCAAATAGCCTGGTATTGCATTCCAACCTGAAGCTCTCCAAACCCTAGTTCTGGGAGACTACTTGAGGGATCAAGCTTGAGACCATTGATGTTTCATTGGGAGCACAAGACAAGAATCCTATAGTGTTTAACCTCCAGAGCACATGACAAAAACAGCCCAGCAGGTGCACCATAGGCAGGGAAGCCATCTCTGAGATACCTGTATCCCAGACCACTTAAGGCTGCATACCCTAATATCCGTCTCTAGATTCATTATTTGTACAAAGCCCACAAACACTAGTGCACATAACTCATTGCTTTTTCCACCATAAGATTATAGAAAGGGTAGGAGAAGAGTAAAAGGCTCTGCATGCCATAGCTATAATCTTGGCATCTAGAATCAGCAGTAGATCTAATAGTCCAGTGACTATATCAGCAAAGGTTAAATAAAACTTCCATTGCCAGCTGTTCAGGTTGTTCTCCATTTTATGGCATTAGTTCCAGCTTGAGGTTGAATCAAGTTAGCTTTCTCCTAATTGGCACCATGTCTTCCAGGTACTGAGAGCACAGCAACTAAAGGGGGATGTGCCTTTGAATGTCACCCATCAACTGGTGACATTGCAGACCAGAAGGACGCTATCTCCTCCCCTTTGCACATTGAATGGGAGTGGTGATGAGAGATCCCTTTAGAATCCCACAGGAGAG